GCCATAGCTGCTTGTAGATTAGTGTTAGCTGGCGGCCATAGCTGCCGTAGGTTAGTGATAGGTGTGTATTCGTGTGTGTGCAGAGTGTGTGTGTGTGGTATCCAGGGTGATCCGGAGTTGAAGTGTGAAGCGAACAGTGGTGTTGGACACAGAGACAAGAGTTGCGATGTGTGGGTGCTGATGCACCATAGCCTGTTTGAAGCGAGCTTGCATCTGAACTGTGTCTTGGATTCCATATCTTCGAGCTTTGAGTTGGGCGCTATGCGCCAGTGTGATTCACCATCTGTTTGTATGCATGTGAAGTGACGAAGTATGCGAGTCTGATTGCAGTTCTTAGTAACTTTTTACCTATCTGGCAAATGCTGGGCACAGCCTCGTTGCATGCTGATAATATCTCCCATGGATACTGGGGTGGTTTAGGGCTGGTCCACACCAACTGAATTTATGAATAAATTGCTGTTTTCTCACCCCTGAAGCATTGACACCTTTTTCTAACATCCATTTTCCTTCAGGTACCTAGGGTCGACAAACTTATATGGGGAGATTCCAGACATGTTCAGTAACCTCCAATTTCTAAGGATTTTGTAAGTTCACAGGAACTGATCGCCTGCTCTTGTCAGCATCCATGGGTCCAGTCGATTTGTGCTTGAATGTCACGCTCATACAGCAATTGAATTGATATGACTGTTTGCTTTCCACTTTTACGGGTCCAGGATGTTATTATCTTGCAGACTTCAGTCGGTTTCTAAGGTTTAAAATCTGGCATGGATTCATATTGAAAATGCATGGAGCAGGCAGTAAAGTGAAAGCAGCACTGTACACCCATCCTCTCCATAGCACAGCTAACAGGTCCAATTTGCTGTTGCATTGGCCTTCAAATTGGTTGTCCACCAGAGCACGTGATCGAAAACGTAAGTGAATTCCACACAATTTGTACGTGCATCATAAGTTCTCACATGCATGTTACGAATACTCAGGTATAGTATATAGAACTTCCATCTGCAGTGGTTTAATTTTTATCTTTGTTGGACTGCTTGTCTTGCCATGTTGCCCTTTATAGGCCCATCTTCATCCCTTTGTGGCTGTGATTACTGACTACTCATCGTCACAAATTTTTTGACGTCTTGTGATGATGGGGATATACCAGTGGTTGATGTGTCCTATTGATGGGTATACCCACATCACCCCCAAAGTGTTCGACATGTTGTGATGATGGGGATATACCAGTGGTTAATGTGTTGTACTGCTGGAGTTATACCAGGTCACTCCAACACTCACATTACCCATGCACATGAGTGGCAGATGTTGGGTGAAATTTCCAGCACTTTCTTAATGACTTCCGTATAATGGATGGGACTTATCGGGTTGTTTCGGAGATTCTTACTTTTCTTACTTTCTAAAATAGGTTTGACATTCTCAATCGCATTAACAAAATGTGTGATTACATTCATAGACAAGTTCGCATTAGCTAGACAATAGGAAGTCAAATAAACAATAGCATGAGATCGGAGATGTTGTCTTTTTTCCATGAATCATATCTCATAGCAACACAGCCTTTAGGTAATACCGTTGAAGTCCACCAAAATTAATGAATGGTGGATCGCAGAGGGCCATCGATATGACACAGGGCCGCGGATCACTGTGATCGACTTTTGTCTCTGTTCGCCTTGTAGGTCACACAGTCACGCAGGCTTTGACCATTATGTGTGTCTCCAACCACACGATTGGATTAATAAAAAAAGTTGTGTCCATCTCGTTACGGACTACTGCAGCGTATCCTTCACTATTGCGCCTGAGAGAACAAACAGTGCAAAGGAGCAATTCATTTGGTAGTGTCGCGGCCACCCATAAAATTAAGAAAACCATCATGACGGCGAATAAAGCAATAGCTTCAGTTAAAGCGAAGTAAAAAATGGGTAGGGGTACACACTCATTTTCTAGATTCAGTGCCATTCATACTTGCAAGCAGACGGACCGGACGAGCGCCCGGTCCGGTCCGCTTTGCCGCGTGCAACACCCTCCCCCCGGACCAGATGGACCCGGACTGGTCCGGATAGGGCCATTTTTTTTTTTTTTTTGGGGTGGGGCGTAACTGGTCGTCGGGCGCACATTCGTGCGCCGTGCTGGTCCGGTCCGGCGGTCTGCCACACGTGCGGAACTGCCCGGACGGCGTCCGCTTGCAAGTATGGTGCCATTCCTTCAACGCTATTGTCCCTCCACTTATGTGAAATTGGGGCTTAGTTCGAATGTCATAGTAAGCCTGTCATAGAGAAGAGTAGCTCTCTCTCGTGAGGATTTGGGTGAAAGTTCTGTGGCCCATGTTATGCACCTGTCATCATGGTACAAGGCCAGATTTGACCTAAAACTGATGCTATATACAGGGGGCTGTCAGCGTCAGCATCCATTTAAATTATCATTAACCGCTCAACCGCTGGAAGTCACACAATGATAACACAAACCAGAAGGAGGAAGGCACCGAGGGTAATTGGAAAACCAGTTTAAACAACAAAGGAACAATGAAAGACTAGCAGAAAAGGAGGTATGAAACACGCGAGCATTGTGAAATTCAGATGCTTAAAAAACAAAGACCTTTTTTGGAGTGTTACAGTCTCCCGAATGCTCCTACTGAGACCTTCCATTGCTATATAAGTGAAACGTACGTGAAAATGGAAAATTTGGCAAAGGCAGAAATACAAAAACCAGATTCTGTGAAGCCTAACAAGGTTCTGGGCGTGGATTATCAAAAGAATTTTGGCAAGAATTCTGGTCGTCTTTCTAGCTTCTCCTCCTCCCTTTCTTCTTTTTCTCCCTCTTCTTCAACTTCTTCCTCTACGTCAACTTCTTCCTCTACTTCCTTCAACTTCTCCTCTACTTCTTCCTCTACTTCAACTTCTCCTCTAGCTTCCTCTTTTCCTCCTCCAATCTCTTCTTCTCTTTCTCTTTCTCGTCTTCTCTTTTCTTCTTTCTCTTTTCTTTGTCCTCCTTTCTTTGCTTTAAAATCTCCTCTATCCTCTGCTCCTCCTCTGCGGTCAACGGCTGGGTCACAGTTCCGGACTTAGTGGTCACCATGGTGATTTTAAGGCACAGCAAAGGTGAGTCGACTCCGCCTCCTCAACACTTACAAACTCAAAACTTAACTAACCTAATTCGAAGTATGACTGGTCTACTTCCCTTTCCCCACGCCTGTCACTGCAGCTCCTCCGCGAACTGGTGGCCAACCAGCTGTTAGTCTGCCAGCAAGGACTTCAGGAATTATTTAACGACGCAGACAGGATGCCGTGGCCACCATGTAGGTAGGATCGCTCTCAAGACTTACGAGCTCCTCACTGCTCTGCCTGGTTCGGTTGCACGCCGGTCAGTACCAGTCATTGGGCTAGCAGGGTTGTTTTACGAGCGCCCGCCGCTCATGCTCGTGCTCCCTGCTGCGCAGGTACTGCCTCCAGTTGCCGAGCTCCTAACCTAGACCTAAAGCATTCACAAGACTGCTGACTCCGAAACGAGATGACATCAACAAAGCTGACTTGCAGCAGCCGTCACCAAGAAAGTACGTGGAGAGTTCCAAAAACATCAACAATTGCAAACAGGGCTTAGGGCAAGTAGCACTTCCAGGTACATCTTCCGCTTCTCCAACCCTCCAACAGCCCCTTCTTCTTCGGCTGCCTCCACCGGTCAAACCCCGATACTGCAATCACCCGCCGGCCTTATACCGTGCTGGCTTCTTCCACCACCGCAGTGCAACGGGCTCCAGCTCTGATACCAGTGCAATGAGCCTCCCAATACCAAACCAACTCGAACATGCAAGGTGAGAGCATTCACAGGAAGTTCACACCGCACCAGAGAGATGACACATGAACCGGCGCCAGATATGTTCCCACTCAAAATATGAGAAGTTAATAATTGGAAAGTTCAAGGAACCAGCGGCAGTTGCCGCAACTCAACACTGCAATCCTGTACTCAACTCCTCCTCCCTTGATGCCTGGCATCCCTCTCTCTTTCTCCCTGTCTCTTCTCTCTTCTCTCTTCTCTCTTCTCTCTTCTCTCGCTCAAGTCTTCGTCCTCTTGGCCTCACTGCGCTCGAGCTCTCCCTCTCTCTCTCTCCCTCTAGGATCTGCCCTAAATACAACTGCGGTGTATTCCCTGAACCTCGGCGGCTATGGCTGTCTCCTTCCTTCTCCCTCGCTGTGGTAACTAGATGTCTCCTTCCTCGCTGGGCACTTGCTCCTCTCCTGGTGCCCCCTCCCATCCACGTCGCACTGTTGCACAAGTAGCCCGCATTACTTTCGCAATTTGCACATGAATAGTTGATCCTTCCTGCTGCTGCTGCTGGGTTTTTATACTTGCTGATCTGCCTTCCAGGCATCTTCTGTTGGTTATGGGTCGGCCCTCTTGCCTTTGTTCCCTGCTTCTGGGAACTCACAGATTCTTCATGGGTTTGGGTGCTTGTGTGGATCAACTGACACTTAGCCTAACGGCCCTGGTAATCCTGGCTGAAGTTGGCCTCTGCAATCATGGTACAATTGAAAGCTACTCTTCTAGAGTATTCGTGCATATTGTACAAGTGGCTGGAACCACTAATGGAACGTGGAATGGGTCTCGTGATTAGAACCTGGGACTTAGGAATGGGACCTGGGACTCGGGACTGGGACGTAGGACTCAGGACTTGGACCTGGGACTTGGGACTGGGACCTGGGACCTGGGACTCGAGACTGGGACTTGGGATTGTGGAACAGCGTGAAATCCTTTCATATTGATATTTCAATTGATCTTTATGGTTTCCCGCCTTTGCAGGAGCCTGCAGAACAACCACCTTACTGGGAGAATTCCACCTTCACTGGGCGCTCTTGCTGAACATGGAGCTCTGGCAACAGTGTAAGAGGCTCCAAATGCTGTCTTGTTCACCTGCGTGTTGCTGTATCCTCAAGCTATGGCTGCAGTGTAATCCTGTCAGCCTGTCACAGTATGCTTCTGAAATATTATATTGCAGAATATTGCAGGAATTAGGAAAAGTAATAAAAAAATAAAAGCAGCAAAAGCATCAACACTGTCCGTTACAGTCTTATGTGTTGTATTGCCAGAGCATTGCCTTTGTCTAACTGTTTATCACTCCTCAGCTCCACGGACGCTGACAGTGTATGCCAGCACTGATTATGCTCTTCAAGCTTATGGTGGTCACTTGATAGAAGGTGTAGGAACTCTGCTTTCAATCTTCCTCATTGTATGTTTCTGTATCTGTTGAGGGCTGCAAATCCCTCTCCTCCCACTGTCAACTGATGCTTGTTATTAATGTATCCTCTCATCCTGTGTTATGGGTTCTTGAAATGTGAGGCGGCTTTTGCCTGATAAACAGCCTAGGTTAACTTTCGTTATGGCAGCGTTTGATAAATTTGGGAGAAATATTGTACTTTGATTTTATTCTAACGTGCAGCAGACATGACTACTTGCATTCCTTTCTACCTCGCTGCAATCATGACTATTTTTTCATTCTTTTTTTTTTTTTTTTTTTTTTTTTCCCATGGCAGGCCTACTAGGGGGGGTGATATGAGCAGCCTCCCCTGGTAAGCCCACAGCTGGCCGCTCCATCTATTGGGAGCACCACCTGCTGGAAAACGGGTCCATCGTACTAATTTTTCGCTCTTGACTCGCCACAGTCGTGACTCTCCCCAAGGGGAATTTCATCCTTGGTACTTGTGTTGATGCTGCAAAGCTGAAAAGTTGTTACAATCTCTTCAACACGTCGCATATACGTGAGTCCTAAGGCTGCAATGCAGCCAGATGTATATCTGGTATCCAAATCTAGCTCCACAATCCAGTCTTTGATTGTAGTCGTGATGTGTGTCTCACTTCAATACCCCTGTTGGTTGTGTTTTTGTTGTATCTCAATTAACAGGGACCTTCAGCGGAACAACCTCAGTGGATACCTTCCAACGTCCCTTGGAACCTTGGCGGGAGTCCAGTAAGTATTAACTTTATCCCCATTGAATGGGATCAGTTTCAGTGTAATACAACCTCCAGTGGTGGTGCTGCATCTCGATGAACAGGAAAATTGAAAGGGACAACCTGAGTGGATAATAGATCTCTTCCAATGTCCTTGTGAAGAGCACGCTAATCTTTTGTCCCTTTTCAACTAGGCTATCAGGGTGGCCTTACCTGGCAGCCAAACCTTCGCATCCCTGAGGGGCCTGCCTGGATTAACCCAAGCTAAGAACGTGCCAAGGCCTTGAGTGAAAGGAAACTACAGCGCCTGATGTACATCTACTGGTTTGCTCTGGTGGCTCGCTTCACATGAGTGCCGAAGCTGCATCTTTGATAACTGTCTGCCTGGAACTTCCCTGCTATTCATTATCCAAGCGCGCCCCCAACATCCCCTCCGATCAACTGCCTGGTGTCTTCGCTGGCAACTGGCAGATTGACCAAATATGTAACAATGGGCAGGACTCCCAAACCGCGGCAGGAACTCTCACACACCACATGTTTTCTTGTCGCGATCCACCATCGACCCTGCCCAAGGGCTGGATGTTGCTAACCAGCCAGCCTCTGGGGTCGTATCATGGCCCTGAATTGACAAGCCCCAAGATAGAATTTCAGTCTAGGACCGCTGGTTCAACCGGTGTCATGTCAAACTCTCGAAGAAATCTTGGGCCCCGATTAAGACTTGTGGGCCCAACGAGGCGGCCCCCGGTCTAGGTCACGCCCTTCGGAGATGCCCTGACATAGGTTGTTCTGCTAAGGAAGGTTTAAGCTTACAATGGGGGTTGCCACTTTGCTTGGCGACTCTACAGGTGGTGGTAGCTTTGCAACTCAAAGGGTGGGTAGTAGCTTGTCACATACTCATTTCCCTTCATCTTTGGTTGTTCTCAAGCAATTTTGCTCTATCCAATACTCAAGCAGTCCAAGGGGGTTCCTTGAGAGTTCTCAAATTTCCTTCATGTGGCCCATCCGAGTGTAAGCTCCTATTTCATGTGAACCATCAATTGCGCCGTACTCTCTTTCGATTGGGAACATGTCCACACAGTGCTAACCTACCTCTCACTATCTCTTCGGTGCCCTATGCCCTATGAGAGGGATTGCCTTCTTCATCACAAGGGTAAGTCAACATAGCCCCTGAGGCGCATGGTGCAAGATTTTCTTTTGTTTTTATGCTATCGGAGATCATCCCCTCGATGTGGAGCAGACTTTGGTGCATGTCACCTGATCAAAAGCAGGGTCATCAAGCACAAGCAGCCATCAAGTTCAACATACATGGCGACACAGTCCATGCATCATCAGGCAACCATGTTTCTTATTCTTTTCGGAACACCCCTCCCTCGTCTTTCACACGTGCTGTGCCTAGCGCTCTCGGGCTAGGCAAACCTTGATGGTTTTTGTACACAAGGCCCCCACATGTTCGGAGTCCTTGCATATGCCCGAGTGCCCAATGGTACGAAGGGGAGCTATTCAAACATATCGAGCAACTCGTCTACGAGCTGGGAAAACATCTAGTAGAGGTTTCCACCGTATGTGTGACGGGGCTGAGGCAGAGCAGCGAGGTTGGGGAAGAGAGAGGGAGGGAGTGAGAGCACACACACACACACTCACTCAACTCGACACGGACTCGACACGACTCGACGGACACGAACACAAAGTGGCGAAGTCGCAAAGTCGCAAGCTTGGTTCCGTACACAATGTCGCAGCAAGTCACGCTGAAGCACAAGCACTGAGGCCGAAAACTGAGTCCCCGAACTCAGCTCGAGTCCGGTCTTAAGTAACGGACTCAAGTTGAGTCCGAGGGCAAAAGTGCAATTGCCTCGGGGCTGAACTGAAAATCGAAGGTCTGAGCCTGGGCGCCAGAATGCCGGATGGCGCCAAGTACGAAATCCGAAAGTGGCAGAGGCGGGATTGGAGAACGGGCGCCAACTGCAGAGGGCACCAACAGTCAGGAACTGGAGATCAGAGACTCTAAAAAAAAATAGAATAGCAGCCTGGCAGGTGGTAACCCGCGGACCAGGGATCGAGCCCTGGCTGGGTCCGTAACACTATCCCCTCCCTCTGGAAGGCAACGTTCCGGCTGCCAAAGACCCAATGAACAACTGTGAAGGACGGGACGGGGCCGATCACTGGTCAGAAAAGGAAAGGGGGAGTAATGCAAGTAGCAGGGTAATCCTATGGGGGTTCTACAGGGGTGAGGGAAGCAATGTTCAAGTAACAGGGTAATCATATTGAGGTTCTACAGGGATGAGGGAATTAATGCTCAAGTAACAGGGTAATCTTACTGAGGTTCTACAGGTAACCGGGAGGTCCTATTGGTGTTCTACAAGGTTGTAGGTTGTCAGGTTTGAGAAAGGAAAAAAAAATAAAAAAAAATTGTTTGTTCAATGCTCAAGTGCTGGGGTGTCTGAGGGGTCTGGGAAAACAACGTCTCAGGTCTGTAACAAAGTGTCAAAAGCGAAGAAATCTCTTGGGGAAGGTCTTGGAGGGTGTCACAGAAGTGGCGATGAGCAAACAGTCTTCAGCAGTTCCGTGATGAAGACGGCGAGGACTTCAGCTTGATTGTCACAGTAGCAGGTTGCGTCCGGTAAATGATCTGATGATGAGGTCTGATCCGGGTAGCAGGTCGTAGACTGATCTTGATGTCCATGTCAGAGGTGCTGCTCCAGAAGTCTGCGAATCCAAGGTGCCGGCCAAAGGGAACAGCATGGTGGCCAACCAGCTGTCGTATCTCCTCGTACTGAGCTGCAGCATGCCATCGTCCTCGCGCGCTTGCCATTAGATCCATTATTGCCGGCGACGCGCAGGGGCCACATAGAGGACTTGGACAAGAGAGACAAGGATGTGGCAGAGGACAGATGGGAGAACAGGGCAAGGCGGAGGCAAGAGCGGATCAGACAGGTGCGGGGGGGGTCAAGAGGCAAGGGCTTCGCTGGGTACAGGGGTGTGTGTAGAGCAGGAATGCAGGGTTTTGGCGAGGTCAAGGCGGGGTTTATGCAAGGGTTTAGGGTTCGAGTTATATTATGTATCTAGGATATAGGGTGAGCACGATCATAGGCGCGAACACGTTTCATAGCATTCTTAAGGTTAGGAAAAGGTTCCCATGTGGATTCTTCGTCAGGGTATCCGGTCCATTTAACTTTGTATTCTGTGATTGGTTTCGGATGGTCTGATACTTGTGTGGTTCGTCGACCTATGATGGATTCTACTACGAATTTAGGGCCTGTGGGAAGCATGATCGGTGGAGGTCTGGGGTAAGGGCGGTCAGCGAATTGGGGTGGGGAGTCATGGAGGGTGGACAAGACTCATCTGGGGAAGACAGGGTGGACAAGACTCATGTCAGGAGGGAGTTGGAGCTTGTAATTGACGTGGGAGGTTTGTTTAATGATGGGGAAGGGACCGAGCCATTTCTTCGAGAATTTCTTGGACAAACCGTGTTCGGGTTCAAAGCATTTGGCGGAGAGCCAGACTTTGTCCCCTACTTTGAATGTTACGTCTCATCTTTGTTTGTTGGTCTTGTTGGTTTGTTGTTCTTGTGTTTATTCAAGGGCTTCGGTAGCTTCTTTGAGGAGTATGTTCATTGTTGCTACCCATTCATTGAGAGAAGGGCAGGGGGTGGAGGGGTTGACTTGCGAGGGGAGCAGGAAGTCGGAGGGCAAGCGCGGATGATAGCCAAGGTCAAGGTAGAATGGAGACATGCCAGTGAAAGGACATACAATGTTGTTGTAGGTGATATTGGCGGAGGCGAGCAACTGATCCCAAATCGTGTTGATGTGGATGACAATACTTCCGCAGGATTCTTTGGAGAGTATCGTTCATCTTCTCGGTTTGTCCATTGGTCTGTGGGTGGAATGCAATGTTATACTTCAGCGTGGTTCCGTAGGCTTTAAAGAGGTGTTTCCAGAATTGTGAAAGGAAGCGAGGGTCACGGTCGCTGATGATGTTCTCGGGGAGACCGTGGTGGCGTGCGACATGGTCGAAGAAGAGAATGGCGACGTCCTTGGCATTGTGCAATGTGGTGCAAGGGAGGAAGTGGGCGCGTTTAGTCAAGCGACAAACAATGACATAGATGCAATCATGTCCGCGGTCGGTCTTGGGGAGACCGCAGACGAAGTTCATGGAGATGGACTGCCACCGGTGGGTGGGGATCGGCAATGATTGTAGTTTGCTAGACTTGGCGTGGTTTGAGGGGTTGACGGCTTGACATGTGGGGCATGAGCGAATGTAGGCTTTGACGTCAGCGAGTAGGGAAGGCCAGTCGAAGTAACGAGAGATGGTGTCAAAGGTTTTATGGAACCTCAGGTGTCCCGCAGTCTTGGCGTCGTGATGCTCGGCCAAGAGCTGGGTACGAAGGCCACGTGCGTCAGGGATGCAAAGTCAGCGAGTGCCTTTGGTGTCAATGTAAAGAAGTTGGTCGTGAAGGGAGTAGTCGGGGACTGAGTCGAGATCACGAAGTTTGTTGTAGATTGTTGAGAAATACGGACAAGAGAGGTAGCCTTGGGTGTAGCGGTGGTGGAGCGATGGTAGGAGTTGGATATGAGTCATGGCGGCGTAGACTTTCTTGGAGGGCTTGTGGTCGGGGGGCGTCAAGTGAGGGCGTCGGCAACGCGATAAGTACAACTATCGACAATTTCGTGATCTCGCGCTCTAGAGGGAGCAAATGACAACACAAGTAAAGGGAACATATGCTTTTGTCGTGAAGACTGGCCTGATAGGTGGGTACTGCAGTCGTGTCCTTTGGCGGCAAAAACGTCAGGATCATATGTTTGTCGTTTTCGACGATGATACTGTAGAGAAGTTACCCCTCGACGAGTCCGAGGGAGGAGGAGGTAATGGTGGCAGCGAGTCCGGAAAGGGTGACGTCGCTGCCGTAGTGGCCAACAAGGGAGACCAAAGTAAGTGGAAGAAGAAGAAGAGGCCATGGTCATTCCCCGAGTACCCCAACATTGTGTTCGGGAAACCGTGGGAAAATATGGGGATGACACATGA